TGGCTCCTCAAGGGGGTTTGTGGTCAATATGAAAAAACAAAAAAAAAAATAGGAAAAATAAAGTGGTGGAAGTGGAAAAAGGGCTTCTCTGCACAGCAACTGCTTTCATTCCGTTTCCCCAAGTTAAGTGAATTCCCAGGGATCAGAAAGGGTTGGGCACACAGGAAAAAACACGTGGGAATAGGAGAGAGCAAGGGGTACAGGGTTTTGTCCTAAATCCAGGTCTAAACCACTGGGTTATGGATAATTTTTCAACCGTGAAACAGGAGCTGCAGTTCACGTATTGTGAGCCGATTAAAACACAATTTAAGAGCATTTTTTTTCAGAAATAAGAGCAGATCTTCGCTGTACGTAGCAAGAGGTAAGAGGAGCCCATCTGCACTGGGTATGTATGTGTGAATAAATAATTTATATAGGAGTTAAAATTAAAACTCCCTTCGCGGTCTGAAATGAGTAAAACACGTTTTGCGATCAAAGCAAAACGTGGTCACACACTGCACGCAGAAATCAGCCATCAGACAGTTGGAATCACACAACAAGCTGTTGAAAGCTTCAGACATTTATACGTTTAAGTGTTGTTTCACTTCAAGAGTGGAAAAAAACCCAGTATTTTTGAGAAAAAAACTCAGTATTTTTGAGGAAGGAACAAGAAAATATTCAGTAAATATTCAAAACACACCATCGATGGTAAAACAATCCACAAGACGAATGTGGAAGTAAAAGAACCTTAATTTTTTTGTCCCATAATGCTGACAAGCGCCTTGAAAGTCGTGGGTTATCAAATGAAATTGTTAATATATTAGAAATAGTTACAGTTTTGCTCTGTTTCCTAACATTGCATTCATGTGTTTGGTTTTTTATATCACAATTTCTAACGGTTTGCATTTCGTGTTCGCATCACCCAGAACGGTCTGCACAAGCGAGACAAAATAACTCAACAGTGTGCACTCCTTTAATGTTTTCAAAACACAAACCTCGACCAGAATTCAGCCCAGGAGGACCTTAAAAAACACTTTAAGAAAAAACATCTTTAAAGTTGTGTCATCCAACACAAAAGAAAAAAAAACCCTCTACACTCTGTTTGAGACGCATTTTTATAATTATCTATATAGTGTGGAAAAATTATAATAAAATTAGGGAAAACCGAACGGAAGGGACTGAAAAGCATCCAGTTCACAAAATGCTGGCGTTGCAAACCAGGCATTTCCACATGTTCACCACAATTTAACTCCAGTTTTGAGCAGCCAACACGAAGCTCGACCATAACCCAAGTTTTCCTGTCAGAGCTCAGCTCCAGAGAGAGGAGATTTCACTGTAACTTATTGATCTCCTTTATTGCTGATGCCAAAAAAAAAAAGAAATAAAAGAGAAAAGCCTGTTTTGTTGTGTTTTTTTTTTCCCTGGGACATTATAGAGTCCTATCTAATTATATACCCCATCAACCAAACTCAATTAAATAATAATACGATGATGTGTAGGAAACAACTCGGATAGATGCAGGTTTAAGTAGTTCTAATTGCATTCTAATATTTTTTAATCCATCATAATGAGCTTTTCTTCCCATTCTCAGGGCGGGGGACAATGTGTAAGTTAATATTTATATTCAGCGTGTCATTATCTGTTTGTGGCAATCACTGAAAATATAAATAAACACACTAATGGACTAATTAGTCCACTGAGTTCACCAGACACCAGAATCTATTTCCAATTTAAACAGGAATTTTTAATTGCTGAGAATGGCTTTGCCCAGGCTTTCAGTTCACTCTTAAAAAAACAAGCTTAAGAAAGGAATATTTCAATATATAGAAATTATATCAAAGATTTTTTACTAGAAAAGGGTTTCAATAAAGTATTTTGCATGCTCAAAGCAACCACACTGTACTAATAAACCAGCTCTAACCCTACTGCAGCTGCCAGAAATCTCTGGAATTGATAAAAATGACACGAATTACCATTTTTTCCTGCTGGGAAAATGTCCCTTTCGAGCAGCCAGGTGGGTCACAAAGCCCCCACCCCTGCCCTGCCCTGCTTTTTCTGCCTCTGCACCACCAAGTGATTGTTTGGACTCCAGAGAAATCAGCAGACTGAGCTTAAAATGCTGCAAAAAAAGTCAGGCTTAGGGGGTCAAAAGGGACTTGGAGCAACACTTCAGATCAGCTCTTACGTGGAAATTCCAGTTTATTTGCTGTTTGAACAGGTATTTAACATCAAAACTCGCTCAACACCTCACCTGCCGCTGTCTGAGGGCACAAAATTCAGCTGTCACAGGAAGCAGCTAAATAAAAGTAAAAGCATTAAGCACGAGTTTAACTGAAATCCTGTTTGTTATCAATGAACCCACCTCCTCTTTTGGGCCTCGGAGTCTCTCCTGGCTCGTTCTAAGGCCAGTTCCTCGGCTATTCTCTTCTTCAGCTCTTCATTATTAACTGCAATTAAAAGAAAAACGCAATTCAACGTTAACAGAACACAAAATATTCCCAACTACAGAAAACAACTGCGTAACGCAGTGCTTTAGTTTGTTTATTTGCTTTTTTTTTTTTTTTCTACAGAGCAGCTTTTTGCGCTTTAAAACCCGGCTTGGAAATTTTAGCACAACAACAGCACTTCGTTAAAATTCCTCTTTTTAAAAAAAATTACTCTTCTTAAACAGCTTTTCAATTAGTGCAGCCCTTTGGAAAATTAAACAACATCCACTGCATGTTTAAATTAAATGCATTTTTCTTCAGAATTATCTCTCTGTAAAGTAAAACCGGGGGGGATGGGACAGAGGCATATATAGTAAAGTCATAAAATGCTGGTTTTTATTCATATAGAGGAATATAAAGGAAATGCCTTTGTGTAAAGAATCAAGTGTTTTCAGATGGATATTTTACCCAGCAAAGCACTTACAACATCCCACACATCCAGATTTCTGGTTCCTCCCGTTGGACAAGGATTTTGCCTCAAAACCCTCCCGATTCTGTTTAAACAAGCAGATATGAAAGGGAATATTTGCTTCCCTTGGATGGTGGCAGATGAATTAACGGTTAAGAAATGAAAAAGCAGGGAAGCCACTTCCTCAAGAACATGAGGTGAGTCTTCCACACAAAGGTAGAAAAGCGGGAGAGTCGCCAATCCTACAAAAACTACCAAAATCCACGAAAATCCCAATCCTGCCTGGAATATAAAGCTCTGCCTGCACCAGCTGAAACTCTGCCCCACTCTGGAATTCCAGGACAGGCAAACAGGTAATTCCCTCATTCCCACCACGCTCAGATCCCAATCCATGGGGAGCACAGAGACACAAGTGACCCCATCCCAAAACACCCAGAACTTGAGCAAAACAAAGATGCTGAATTTAAGGAGGTGAATGAAACAACCCCCCTGGAGCAGCAACAAAACCTCTGCTCAGGGAGGGGCTCAAACCCAGGGAAGGAGATTTCCAGGACCTCATCCCCAGGATTTACCCACAAATGTTACCCCAAAGTCCTCATTCCCTATTCCCATAATAGTTTCCCCTCATCCCGAAGCAGTCTCAGAAAACTGGGAGTTTTAGGAACGGATGAAGCAGCTCCATCAAGTTTCTGGGAGTCTGGGCCAAGTAATTCAGTTACAAACATCTTAAGGAAAAGCAGAAGGAATGAAAATCCCGGAATTAATCTCCAGGGAACGCTGAGACGACACAGAGGGGAAAAAAGCAGAAGGACATCTGAGAGAGAGCCCAGCCTAAAAATATTAACAAAACAGGTGCAAATTCTGAGGTAAACACGAACCCTTTCACACATCCCCACCACAAACCCGGATGGAAAAGCGAAGCCCTGTTTTGTTGGGAATATCTGGGCTGGCAGCAGCATCAATATCTCATTGAGCAGCATCTGCATCACGAAATTTATCGTTCTGGTGTGCAAAAAAGAAAAAAAAAAAACCACGAGTACAAGAACTCCAGCAGACCATGGAATGGTTTAAGTCGTAACGAGAGGAGAAAAGCCAATAAAGACATCTGACCTTAACAATCAATTAAGCTGCTCATTGATCAGCCAGATGCTAATAGGGAATAAAAGTGGAGCCATAGATCATTCGGTGGAATTGTTGTAAAGATACAAGTGGGGAGCTCCCAGGTGGGAACTCTGGGATGTTTCAGTTAAAAAAAAAAAAAAAAAGCTGCAGTTCCACAAGGGGGAGGGATTTGTTCCAGGGGGAAGATGCATTTAAAGAGAGAAAAGTTAATTTATTGCAAAAGACGACTGCGGATAAATGAATAATATTTCTCTGATGGCAATTTCTGCTCAGATTACAGGGCAATAAAACAGACTCTTGACTACTGAAGTTCTGGAGAATGTTAGAACCTGGGGGGTGCAAGACTGCTAAAATATTCATATATTAATATAATTATATTAAAAATTAAATTAAAATTTTTTTTAGCCATTCCCACCCCCCATCCCCTTTAATATTTTAAGTTCTTCAGAGTGCCAATGCACAGCTCCCACCACCAAACCAATTTGGAGATCTGATATCTTTTATTGTCCACCTATTCCTTTGGAAAAATTAGAAAGATGTGGTCCTTCCCCCCCCCTCCCCTTCGTGCACAGGTTCAGACTTCAAAAAGACCACAGATAAAATAACCAACTGTTCTTATTTAAACCTTTTTTTTTAAACTATTATTATTTGTTATTTTCTTATTTAAACCGTGTTTATACACTGCAAGAACACATATTTGGTCCGGGTGACTTCCCCTCCCCAAACAAACACACAAAAAGGGAAATCCAGATCCTTTTCCAGAGCAGGAAGAGACCAAGGTTCCACCCAACAACCTGAAAAAAGGGCTTATTCTGCCACCTTTTTAAAAGGCCAGGAACCCTGATTTCTCTTAAAAACATATTTATAAAGGAAAGGAACAAGCAAAGCCATTTGTTTAACCCCTAGGGTTGATCCTCCCACTTGTGGGACAGATAAGGAATCAGAAAGCCAGCGTTTCCCAGATCCAAAATTCTCTGGAGAGTTACAGGGACAAGAAGGGCCCTGAAGAAGCTTCTCGCTTCCCAGGAGATCCTGAGGGTTCAGACATACAAAATGTGCTCCATTTTGGAACTCCCAGGAGCAGTCTCGGGGAAAAGACCGGACAAGACAACGATTTTTGAGGGGCCATCAGCAATTTTATCCCTCCCAGGTGGGTGCACGAGGGCAGGTGCAGCTCAGCTACTCCCACAGGATTTGACTCCCAACTCCTCGGCTCTTGCTCATCCCAAGATCCAAATCCAGACCTTTTTTCCTCTCATTCTAAAGCAGTTGCCTCATGAACAAAAAAAAAAAAAATAAAGAAAGAAACAATCAGCAGGATATCAAGTCTCCAATCCACAGCAGTAAACAACCCACCTCGGGGAAAGCAAGACACCTGCAGCCTCAAAACCGTGAGCCTGAGAAAGCAGGAATGGGATATGGGCAAATTAATCAAATCACTTCCAGCCTGCAGAGCTGGGAATCTGCCCATTAGCCTCTCATTTGCAAAAAATCATTAATGGAAGCAGCATTTATATTAGCAGGCAGCTTCAGTAAATTCTCTTGAAAGGGCAGGTGCATTAAGTTATTAATGAAGAGACACTCAGGTTTGATACAATCAAATGCCTTTTAGGAAACGCTGAGCTAAATGATATGCAGAGAAAAAAAATGAAATTATAGCAAAAAGAAAAGAAAATAAACAAGTTTATTTAAGCTATTTAGTGGAGTTTTGCTGCTAAAAAAAAACTGCCCAGCGAACAGGAGATCCTTCAGAAAGCAACTTCTCCAAGGGCAGCACCGAACCATACGTGACCCCCAGGACACCTGACCACCTTAAAGAGATAAAATATTGGATTGTATGGAAAAAGACTTCCCAGGATGGAACAGCACAGCCCCTCTGGGCAACATATTTGCATGGCTGACTGACCTGACGGCAACAAAGCTTCAGGTCGACAGCACTTGTTTCATGTGGGCCTGAGATTTATCGTCATGAACCGCCACCAAGGGACTGGTTCTGTTGCCTCAGAAAGACACTTCCAAGCCCAACAATTCCTGCTCCTCCAGCCCTCTCCTCCTGAGTTCCAGACCATCTTTCCTCCACACAGGGAGCTCTGCAGAGTGTTTGGGGCTAAAACTTCTGCCTTCACACCGACACAAGGAGATGTCTCGTCCCTGGGAGTGCCCAAGGCCAGGCTGGACAGGGCTTGGAGCAACCTGGGACAGTGGGAAGGTGTCCCTGCACACAAAACGGTCTGGGTTGGAAGGGACCTTCAAGATCATCTCCTTCCAACCCCCTCCCACCAGAGCAGGTTGCTCAAAACCCTGTGCAGAGTGGCTTTGAATAAACTGTAATTAATAACAGAAAAAAAAGGCAGCTCTTGGTTTCTATTCCTCCTTCCACCACACAGGGTTAGAAAACTGCAATGAGGTTGATAGGGCAGCACTTAAAATATCTTTAGTTTCATACTATTATTTGTAATATTTGAAATTTATAAGTCAATTCAGAGGAGCTGGGAAAAAAAAAAAAGCCCAAATCACTGAAGAAGAGCAACAAGGTGCAGGATAAATAAAGTGGGGTTGGAGAAGAGCACTGCCAGGAACAGGAAGGCTTCTTTTAGTGCTGGAAAAACTATTTCCCAGTGAATTCCTGCAGCATTTCTTCATCCAGTACTCATTATTGGCAGCTGAGCATCAGGGCAGTGAAACCATCGATCCATCAGGGCACTTCTCCAGGCTGAACATTCCCCCTGGGATGAGGAACCTCAGGGCTGCCTTCAGCCCCATCATCCGTCTCAGCTGCTGGCAGGGCAAGTGGAGCTCTTGGAAAACATTCCAGTTAATGAAGATGTCCGAGGGAAAAGCCCTAACTGCGCATCAGGAGCCATAAATATTGAACCAGGAAGCCCACAAGGACAGCCTGGTGCCTTCCCAACCTCAGCCTGAGGGTTCAGACACACACACACACATTAAAGGACTTCCACAACTTTCCCACCCACATTCCAACTTCAGATGTGTCACAGGTGAACGTCAGAATATGCAAATACCCTTGGTTTATTCTTTCTGTTTAATAAATGCTCCGGTTGGGTCTACACCGAAATTCCACAGGTAACAAAAATCTTCAGGATCAACAGGAAGGAATCGCTGGCTGGGAGGGTGGGGAGGGGCTGGACTGGATTTCCCAGAGAAGCTGTGGCTGCCCCTGGATCCCTGGGAGTGTCCAAGGCCAGGCTGGAGCAACCTGGGCTAGTGGAAGGTGTCCCTGCCCGTGGCAGGGAGATGGAATTTGATGATCTTTCATGTCCCTTCCAACCCAAACCACTCTCTGATTTCACGAACAGCAGCCACTTAAGTTGAACGGCAGAGACAAAATATCAAATCCCTAATTCAATTTAGAAAGAGCAGCCAACTAGATAAATGACAGGCACTCCAGTAATACACAATAATTTCCACTAGACT